ACATCATTCTTGTATCAAGACCACTCTTTATTCCAAATGCTCATCTTATCCTACTTTTTGCAAAGGTACACCTGTATATGTGCAGTACAGGTATATGTGCAGGTCTACATTAGATTTGAGGCCAAAAAGACTAAAATCTGGGGGAAAAAATGGTATCCAACAACCTGTATAATTTTGGAGCTAAAATATTAGGAAAAAAATTGTTTTTCCCCTCAGTATATTGTAGTGTAGCTAAAATGTCCAGATTATTTGGTATCATTGTAGAGCTACATCTGTCTTATCTTTCTATTACCACCCACATTAGAGTATCATACATGAGCTTGATACTACAGAGTTGGAAGTAGGCTACTAAAACCTGATGTGTAAACAAGGCACTAGAAGGGTTAATGAGTTAAAAGATGTATTGACCAAGACATGTTCCGAAGTCTAATAGAGCTCTGTCTCAGATGTAGTAGGTTGTGAGTTCAATCCTCTGTCAAGTCATACCAAAAACTTACAAAAATGGTACTAACAGCCTCCTCACATGGCACTCAGCATTAATAGGATAGTATTGGGACTGGTCAGCCTGTTGTCAGGACAATGTGACTGGGTGGGGCATCATTCTACATGTCCATGGCATGATTCTCTAGTGCTAGACATCACTATAAACTGCCACATTGCAGACATAGCAATATGACTGAAAAATTGTTAAAGCTATGTTAATAATCTAAATCACACATACCCTAGACATGTTAACTGATTATATAGCTCTATGTGATGAGTGTCTTTGCAAAACTCATTTCATACAAGGAAGAAACATTTGGAACTTGATGCAGTAGAATAGCTTTATTGATCGAACATAATTTTACAACATCAACTGTGCTAATCCCAGGAATAATTAACTTCAGAAATGCTTAAAATTAAACTTTTGCATAATTTGTAGGCATTATAAATTTCCTGTTGCATTTTAAGTCAGGTTGTCTGTAAAATAAGCAAATACATTGCTTATCTGCAGCTTTGTTATGCAGCATGTTATCTTGGAAAAGGAAATGTTGGTAACACCCCAGCATGTTATCTTAGAAAAGGAAATATTGGTAACACACTAGCATGTTATCTTGGAAAAGGAAATGTTGGCAACACCCCAGCATGTTATCTTAGAAAAGGAAATGTTGGTAATACCCCAGCATGTTATCTTAAAAAAGGAAATGTTGGTAACACCCCAGCATGTTGTCTTAGAAAAGGAAATGTTGGTAACACCCCAGCATGTTATCTTAGAAAAGGAAATGTTGGTAACAACCCAGATGGTTGTTCTGTATGCTATTTGATTTTTGTTGGCAAAAGCTTGAACTTGTGATTACTTTTGTTCAGTCTTTCAATAGATTTGTCCCCATGTGCATCTCTGTTCAGCTTCACCTAGAAAAGGTAAATGTTTAGTTTTTCTATGCCCACAATAAGGCAGAGCATTAATAATAATAATAATAATAATAATAATAATAATAATAATAATAATAATAATAATAATAATAATAATAATAATAATACAATGTCTTCATTTAAACTAGGTAACTCAATTAGTTAAATTCAACTTATTTCCCATGAAGCCCTATACCCAATAATGTCTATATGACACAGGGTACTAATGGTATGGAAAAATGACTACCAGCCAGGATATTGATGAACATTAAATACAGTTTATATAGGTTTGTGTGGCCAATGTCTTCATTTAAACTAGGTAACTCAATTAGTTAAATTCAACTTATTTCCCATGAAGTCCTATACCCAATAATGTCTATATGACACAGGGTACTAATGGTATGGAAAAATGACTACCAGCCAGGATATTGATGAACATTAAATACAGTTTATATAGGTTTGTGTGGCCAGGATTGGTTAATAATGTAAGTTATGTATTTGGTAAAAGAATATTTTGAGAACTTATCCTAATTGTAAGTAAAAAAAAAATACAGACATTGTTTTATTGATGGAATTTCAGTCCTTTAACAGTCTTGAGTTTGGAACACAACACTCATTACTAAAATTAGTACCTGACTCTTAGGAGCAGAATCGAAAGCATGTTTCAAATACATGCAGATCCAAAAAATGCCACAGCTCATATCCTTTCCTCTACACAGATGCTGACATCTAGGTTTCATATATACTGATAAATATTGGTTTGATCATGGACACTCAGAAATTTTAAGTTATTGAATTTTTAGTTTCATGGTGTTTGCTTAGGTTTACTATGGGAACTGAATTAGTACCGGGATTCTATCAGTTTCCAGTTTTGTTTTTGCACACAAAGTCTTTGAGTTATGCATGATTTACAAAATTAACCAACTCAGTGGAGGTTTTGTATTTGAAGTTAAGAAGAATCTCGTTGATTGTAGAGTCTATTGATCAAAGTAAGGAAAATGGTTTCCAATGCAATAACTCTTCACTATCTGTGTTTATCAAACTTTGTGGATGATTTGCTCATGTGATTATAAAGACCCCTATAAATCAATGTCTCTTCGAAAAAAAGAATTTTTTAAAAAATATTTGTTTTTAATGGCATTTTTAACAAAGCATTGGCAATGGGAGTTAAGTGCCGATTCAAAGGATTTGCTGACTGTGTGAGCTAGTTTGGGCCAGGTATCAAACTTTTTCCGATGCTGGACCAGCTGAGCTACATTGCTTGGTTTCCACACAATGAATTGATTCTTCACCTTAAACAGTTATTGAAGTTTGTGCATGGTTTGTACTTGAGGTAAGGAAGAAGATTTTAGGTTAAAACCTTCAAGATCACTGTGACAGAAAAAAGAAAAAAGGTTTTTTCACACTTCAGTAACATTTTGTTTTACCTCATAGGCCCTGACTTGCATGTTGCTGTTGGGGTCAAGGTTAAAGTTGAAGATGACTACAGGACACAAAATTTCTGAACAATACCACCAGTTATCCATCATCCACAGTGGCAAAACTTTGTGGATGGCTTATACTTGGGATAAGAAAACACTGTTGATTTTGGGTTTCCACATAATATTAGTTCAAAATCACAAATAGAACTGAATTCAGTGGATGACTTGCACATGGAATAAGGAAAAAGTCTGTTGATAGTGGTGTCAGAAGGTGAAAGATCAGGGTCACTGACAGAAGAAACTTGGTTTCTGTTTATAAATTTCACTTATCTCTTGAGGAACATTGTGTTGGTGTATAGTGTGTCTTTATGATTTTCTGAAACTGCATTTTGATGATGTCACCAAATTTGAATATTCCTTGCGTATTTCATATCTAGTGCATTGGATATTGCACATAAATGACAAATTTAGCCATTTTTGATGATTTGTAAAAACTTTACAAAATCCATTTTAACTCAACCCCTGGCACTGCATTTATAAAGCAGGAGGTGGTAGCCTACTTCTGAGGTCAGTAGGGTCATGGTCGTATATAACACAATAAAGTGGATGGTATTATAGAATGGTAAACAGATCTAGCTTTTTGAGAATACCAAATAATATGAATGTTCTAGTTGCAATACAAAATACAGAGGGGAAAATATCACTTTTTGGACCTGAGTTTTTTCCATCTGAAATTCACCTAAGGTCCAAATCTTATTTTGTCTGGATTTTAGACTTTTTGGCCTCAGATCTAAGACAAAGTTATTCTTGACATGAAAATGAAATGATGGGTCCATTAGGCAAAAAAAAAATAAAAATGAAATCCAACTTGTACCCTTCTGCTCATGCTCAGCAAAATAGCCAATGAAAAATGATGTTTCTAACACAAATAAGCATTAGGTTAATGGAAAATATCTTGGAGATCAATGTATTAGGATGTATTTAGAAATAGCCTCTAAAAAGGTATTTCTACATGCATTTCAAGCCAAAAGGACAAAAGCCTCCAGGGGTTAATGTGTTAGTAATCAGTGTATTATTACTATTAGGGGAAGGTTCCCAGAAAAATACTGAGGCTTCCATAGCAGTTATATTTGAAGCTTGTTGGATGTTCTTGCACCTGTAGGACAAAGATTTATTACTCTATAGGTGAAGAGTGTGAATTTGTACCTTTATCTGCTTGTTTGCACATATATGCCCCTTATGCCTCTGTGATTTATCCACATATATAGAACAGTTTCTCACAGGTTAACACAAAATACAATCCACATATCCTCAAGGCAAAATGATTTGTTATCCCCTGTCAATACAGATTTTGTTAATGTCCCTTCAGCTCTGCTTTTATTCCTGTGGTCAGGAAGAAAGGGCTCCAGTATTCACAAAATATATGTGCAGTGGATACCTCATAGAGCATGAACCTTCCTTGGTCAAGATTATTTGTGTATTCCTTATTTGAAATAACCACCCAAAAGTTTACATGAATGTGTGTATAATTTAAAAACTTTGGTAGTGGACCATTGTTGTTGCCCAATTTCACTGGATCCAATCACACATTAACCATGAGTAGATACAAAAAGAAGCAAATGAACAATCCTGTCGTAAACAAAGACGAAGTGACTCTGTGCATGGTGAAACAGAAAAAGTATGAGATAATGCAAAAGCGAGCTCGGAGTCTCAGTGTTGGAGCACCAGAAGTTGAAAAGATGTCATTGCTAACACATCGTTCATTCAATCTTCCAACAGATTTGTTAGGATATTCACATGCCAGATCCAGTACATATACATTTGAACAGATGTATGGATACAAGGTATTTAATATATTTTTATATATGCAGCTATGAATTTAGTGTTGTAATTCTAAGCAGAATGTCCATTTTGCAGCATATATAGTTTATTAATATTTGATTAAATCTGATTATTATTTATTGTTCATTAATATTTGAAGACAGTTAATTGTTTGACAGTTTAAATCTCACAATCATTAATCTTTTCCTTGCAGAATTTCATTTCCTTCTGTTTCAATAGAATATTTTTATTAAATTTAGGGAATGCTAGCAGTTTGGGATGCAAGAATTTCACCAGGACTTGGTTAAATTGAAATAATAATTTTCTGTGATTATTTATTTGGCTATTTACTGATATAAGATAACTGCTCTGGTGGCCTAGTGGTTAGAGCATCAGCCTTGGATGCAAGAGTTGTTGGTTCAATCCCCAGCCAAGTCATACCAAAGACTTTTAAAAAATGATACTAACAGCTACTTCAATTAGCGCTCAGCATTAAAAGGTTAGTGTTAGGACTGGTTAGCCTGGTGTCAGGATAATGTGACTGGGTGGGACATCATGCCACGTCTACAGCTTGATGCCCCAGTGCTAGACATCACTATAAACTGTCACACTGCAGACATTGTAGCCATATGACTGAAATTTTTTTAAAAGCGAAGCTAAAAATCTAAATTACACACACATACACACACACACACACTGAAATAAGATATAAGTGAATTCAAAGGAACATTCACATCTTCACATTTTTTATAAGTTCACATGTACAATATGACCTCATAGATAGGCATATCTCACAGAGTTTACTTAAATCTTACAGAATACAGTCAAGTAATTTATTTTCACGATTATACATTTTCATAGTTTAATGAAGAAAAAAAACATTTTCTGGAGTAAATAGAATCCTCATTCTGGTAGCTATTTCTCTTTGTTGTTGACCTCTTAAATAAACAATTCCTGCATTTCCTTGTAAAAGACTTGTTGCTTTTAAGTTCATTTGAGGTATCTGTAATTGAAGGATTTCATTTTAGACACAGCCATATGGTGGTTTAAAACCACACAAAGCCATAAGATTGTGTATTACATGTATTTTATTTTCCATCTATTTATTTTTCTGTCCAACCATCTGTCACCAATTTTGCTTCTATAGACTTTAAGGAAGATGCCTTTAGATTTCAGGGTCAAAAGGTCAAAGGTCATTATGACCAAAAGAAATATTGTTTATGCATAATGTGGGTAATACATTGGTCCATTGATTTTGGATCAAAGGTCAAATAAAAGCCCATTTCATTGTCTACATACTGAGCTCAAATTAGCTTTGATTCTTGGTACCTGATTCATGGATTGCAGCAGAGATCCTGTTGTTTTCTTGCATAAGAATAATCATTTGGGTTTAAAAATGCATGGTTTGTACCAAGCATGAAATTCTGTAAAATTAGTATACCCAGACCCCAGGGAATTCATTACATTTTTTTCAGTATCACATACTGGTCTGCTGTAAGTGTCACTGGTATGGATTTAGTGCTCTAGGTTTTGTAAGTGGTATAGTACTTGTCATAACTCCTGTGTACAAGTGTTGTAAGATTTATCATGAGCATTTGTCAGTGGTATTACATTTATCAAAACTGCTCCGGTGGCCTAGTGGTTAAAGTATCCGCCTTTGATGCTGGAGGTCGTGGGTTCGATACCCGGTATAGTCATACAAAATTCTTCAAAAATGGTACTAACAGATGCCTTGCTTGACGATCAGCATTAAGAGGTTAGTGTTAGGACTGGTTGGCCTGGTGTCAGGATAATGTGATTGGGTGGGATATTATGCTACATGTCTGATGCCCCAGTGCTAGACATCACTATAAACTGCCACACTGCAGACATCATAGCAATATGACTGAAAAATTGTTAAAGCTATGTTAAAAATCATAATCACATTGAATTATATATATCAAAGGGTCTGCTAGTAGGTGGTATAACAGTTACCATATGGCCTGTTTGCCAGTGATATAACATTTAGCATCTGGCCTTTCTATTACTGATATATTTTTTGTGGTAGGGCCTGATGGAAAGTGGTGAATCATTTATTGTTACCTGCTTGAGATCAGTATAACATCTATCACAGGAGCTGCCTGCATGTGGTATAGTAACAACATTTAACAAAGGGACAAAGGGCCTTTGTAGGAGGCATAACATTTAACATAGGGCCTGTGTGTAGGAGGCATAACATTTAACATAGGGTCTGTGTGTAGGAGGCATAACATAGGGTCTTTGTGTAGGAAGCATAACATTTAACATATGGTCTGTGTGTAGGAAGCATAACATTTAACATAGGGTCTGTGTGTAGGAAGCATAACATTTAACATAGGGGTCTGTGTGTAGGTGGCATAATATTTAACATAGGGTCTGTGTGTAAGAGGCATAACATTTAACATCATAGGGTCTGTAAATAGGAGACAACATTTAACATAGGGCTTGTGTGTAGGAGGCATAACATTTAACATAGGGGTCATAGGGGTCTGTGTGTAGGTGGCATAATATTTAACATAGGGGCTGTGTGTAGGAGGCATAACATTTAATATAGGGCCTATATGTAGGTGGCTTAATATTTAACATAGGGCCTTTAAGTGGTATAGCATTTATATTAGGAAGTGTTAAGTGGTTGTATAACATTTATCATAGGGCCTTTGTGTAGGTGGTGTATGCAAAACAAAATTTGTCATACTGGCCTGTTTCTGAGTGGTATTAAACATGCATAGGGCTATAACATTTAACATAAGACATGTAACTGGGGGTTTAATATTTATCATGGGGTTTGTCTATCTGTAAGTGGTATAAGGTGTATCAGGGCATCTAAGTGGTATAACATTATCATGTTTTATATTTGTTAATGGTTGAGGATTTATGATGCATGTGTGTCCTATTTTCAATTATTACATTTAAATTTAGGTTCCTGTGTGTAAGTGATAACAGCATATGTATACTATTATAAGGCATGGCCTTTTCCTAATTTGGCCTATTTCTGCATATTGTTCATACTGTTGTTTGATTATCAATTTAAGACTTAAATCAGAAAGCTGTAAGAATGAAAGATGCAGTTTTGAACTATCTCTGAATGAAAGATTATTTTGATATACCTGGTAGTGAAAACAGCCCAGTTAAGAATCATTCAGAGGTATTGACACCAAATATGTATGTTTGGTAATAAAATCAAGACTTTAGTCATCTTAAGGTCAATATGGTCTTTAGTATTCATTTCTTGTGTCAGTATTTATTGCTCATCAATTTTATGGCTGAAAGTGAGTAGGTAGTCTTTATAGACATTGCAGTGAGCAAGTTGTGTGTTATATTGGCATGTGAGACAGTGATAGACTGTCAGATGGGTTTATATTCTAGTTTTGTAGTTTGACCCCAGTGATCTAGAGTTTAACAATTTTCTATAGTTATCCAATGACATATTTGTTCTTGATAATAAGCCCATCCTCATTTTGCAAAAGCTTGGCAGATATTTACTAACATATCTTTGATAAAGATTGGTTGTTTATGGTTTTATGGGTTTAACACCATTTTTCAGCACAGGAGCAGTTATACTATTCATGGCAGTCAGTGTATTTGGTGGAGGAATAACCCTGCAAAAATGCTGGGAAAAATCACTTACCCATGGGAAGCAACTGGCAAGCTTTCTCATATTCCCATGCTGACCCAGTCAAGTCTTGAAACCTGGTAAACAGAGGTGAGATGTCAATGATCTGTAAAAAGCAAGCTACTTTGACTTGTGAACAACACAGGGCGGATATCTGGTCAGGAACTAAGCCTTAGAAGGTATTGTCAAGAAAGATGCATAGGACATAGGCATTGTGCATATACTAGATAGGTAAAGTGACATGCATGCACTTTGCTTCTAGGGGACATAGTGTTCAGACTAAAACATGGAATGCACATAACTGATTATTGTGGATGAAGATAAATATTTTAAACTTTAAAAGAAAACAAAAAGACCTATTAGACTGTTACAGCCCTTGATTACAACAGTTCTTTCTAGGCTGTGCCCTTCTGTCTTTTTTCACAATAAAATTGGAGATGTTGCAGATACAAATCTGCAGCATGTCAAGAGATGGTGCATAGTGACTAGCCATCCCAAGAATAGTAATCTGCATCATTTACCATCATTTGCTATGTATCTCAACTATTAGGCATGCCAACTAAGTCAATAAGGTGAATGATTTTTTTTTTCTTACTCAAGGTGGCCTCACCAGTTATTATGTACTTTTGAGAGAGTGATGTATGTAAGATTAAGTTGATTGCATTTTAAACATGCACAGTGGAGAGAATGTTGGCATACCTATATACTACTTTCATGTAATGTGGATGAAATTTCTTTGGATATTGTACTTTTCGAAATTTTAAATGACCTTAGGACACTGCTAACTAAAATAACTGCTCCCTTGTGCTCCAAAAATCAACCTGAATTTGTCTAAAGTACACTATTCTTGGCAGCTATTAAAATATGGAAAATGAATTTTGCCAAACTAGACAATACCAGCTTCTAAAAGTGCAATGAATGAATTACCAAATACATAAAATGTAAAAAAAAAGATATCAGCTCTTTTTTTAAAAAATTTACCTCTGAAGTTAGAGAAGTGAAAATGAGCAAGTAGAGTTAGCACGTTTTTGAAAGGTGCACATCTGGAGTAAGGCCAAGCTGTATACTCTATAACCCATATTACACTCATCAATCATGCATCAAAATAAAGGGAATTAAAGGTTCTTTGAACAATACCTAAGATATACAAAGACTCTTTTAACCCTTTCATCACGTCCAAGGGAAGTAAATCTGTCAACACTTTTGACCGAGTTTTCCTTCTAGGGCAGTGTTCTGTTTTAATGTTATAGTACCCGACTAAATGGCCATAGTACACAATTAATTTTACTATATGGTCTCTACATTTGTTTCTCAGTACTGAACTTTCCACTGTGTGACAATCAATACAAATCATATGTTAATCTAAAATACCTTCAAAGATGACTTTACGGTTTAGTTCTTGTCAAGGGTTGACCTGCATTTTTTTGAGAGGCTGAATTGTAAACAAAACACCAGGCAACGGAACACAGATTTCACTTCCCGATCATCACCATGACACAGACAACCACACCATAAGCTCACATTTTAAAGAATAATCAATTGCCTTTAAATCCTTACCAAGAATGCCAAAATCTAACTCTAGTATCACCACCAAATTTAGACCGGAAAAAGTGATCTAAAAATAGACTGGGACTACATTCGTGGGTACTGAACGGATTTTATTAATTTTGTACTGATTCCTGAAAGGGTCAATATTTTTGTCAAACTTTTATATTTGCATTTTATTTTGCATGCCACTACTGTTTCAACTTCATACATAAAGTCTTTTGAAATTTCCTTGCAAGCAAGACATGTGACAGCTGTCAGAAAGTGTGTAGTGCTGGTGTTCTATAGGGTGCAATTTGAGGTCCAATTGTTCTTAAGAAATCAAAACTAAATTTGCTATATCTTCCTTAATTATAGGAATTTTTCAATGCAGTAAAAACCTAATTGTAACACTTGATAAGGCCTGTCTGAAAATAGTCTTGAAATTAAAAATTATTGATATATTAAATTTTAATGGAAATTTAAATAAATATATAAATTTTACAAACTTTTTATTTTACAAAAAATAAATTTTCATACAAGTTATGACATTCAGTTTGACAAATTTAAGGCAGCAATGTTGATTAATGAATGGTATTTAAAACAAATGGTAGTTTAGGTCTGTACAACTGATAATATTAATCCCAGGGGTACTGAAGCATGATAGCTCACAGTGATTTTGACAGCAAATTGCAATATGCCTATCCAGATGCATATAGGTGTACATACTAAAGAAACAATGACAGGTACTATGTTCCACATTTATTGTTTCAGGTACTTGGACAGTTGTTTGTATAAATAATATCCCACTCAAATTTAAAGTTTTGATGGGACCACTACCATGTTTTATAGCAAATATGCATTCCATTTTTATGCCGCTAACTACAAAAGTCAACAATGCAATATGAAAATACAGTTTCACCTTACTGAAAAAAGATGCGAATCTCTCTCATGAAGATCTAAGCCATGTCTTTGAGATGCTGTATATCAGTGTACTGATATGAACTCATCTTGGTCACTTATAGAAGCACACTGCACATGTCCTTATGAGACCTTGCTATCACCATTGGACTACTGGAGAGCTTCCAAATTGATCCAACTCTAATACTTTGTTCCAGATACCAGACTAGCCCTGAAAATATATATCATGTTTCACTTAATTCTAAAAAAACGGAAGATGTAGGCAAATGAAGTTAAAATGTGTTAGATATGGTGATTTCAAAATAACATTCAGGTTGCAAATATGGTTTAAAAAGGTAAACTTGATAGAGTGACACTCAAAGATGTGAAGCAATGGGCATGTATTAAAGTGACAAATGCATCCTAAAAATAGATGAAGTTATGATTGTACTGATACACACTGCAGTGTTGAACCTATGATCTCAATTGCAAGGAATCCTGTGTACCCTATCCTTCAGATGTAGGTGAAATGCAGCATATTTAAAGAGACAAAGGGAAAAAAATAGTGGGTAGTACTTAATGCTCAAAAACTATTGAAAAAGAATGAGATAAACATATTTGCTTTGAAAGCTTGGCTACCTT